AAATGGCCTGTCCTGATCGGCTATTGCTAGGACTGGGGATTGTATCAAGCTCTGCTTGATACCCTCAAAGGAGCGTTGACATTCAGCGTTCCATAACCACCTCTCGTTCTTTTTCAACAAACGAGAGAGGTGTACAGTCATCTCGGCGTAATTGCGTGAATACTTATGCAAATACGCCGCTAGCCTAAGGAATTTTCGAAGACCTTTGACATCGACCGGCACGGGCCAGTCGGTGATCGCCTTGATCTTTTCGGGATCAGGACGTACACCGTTCTTACCAACGATGCACCCAAGAAGTGGTATTTCGCTTGCTGCAAATATACACTTCTTGAGGTTTGCATACAATTGATGCTTTCGCATGATTGTAAGAACTTGTCGGACGTGGTACTTGTGAACCTCAACGTCCGACTTTCCATCCATAGCTCGACTATGGATGAATACGTCATCGAAATAACTCGGCGCGAATTCTCGTACTGGCCTCAACAGATGTGATACACACCTGTTGAACGTGGCAGGGGCATTACTGAGCCCTTGTGGCATTACTAGCCATTCCCAGAGCATGCCGCTAGGCGTGCTAACTGCGGTATAGGGTATATCCCGTTCCCGCATTAGGATTTGATAGAAGCCATCCATCAAATCCATGGACGAAAAGATGGTACTCTTTGACATACCATCAATGATTACGTCCTTCCTCGGTATCGGCGTCTGAGCCGGTACCGTTGCAGCGTTCAATTTGTTGAACGCGTGCACTATCCGCCACCCTCCTGTTGCTTTTCGCACACAGAAGGTCGGAGAGCTATGTGGGGAAGTTGATTCCCTCACATGGCCCGCAGCTAAACGATCGGCAAAGAACTTGTCGATCGCAAGTACTTGTTCACGAGGCAGTGGCCACTGCTTCATGACACAGTACTTCGAGCCTGGTTTAAGCTCGACTTCGTGTCGAATACCTTTATCCTTCGGTAATTCGCACGGAACAGTTTCAGGGAATACATCCTTGAATTCAACCAAATCTTCATAGAGAGGATTTTCCTTGAGCGATTCCCATGATTGGGACTCATATCGCTCAATTCGTGTCTTTTCATCTAGGACACTCTCGTCCATAGATGAACTACTGAGAACTCTCTCGTTCTCAGTAAACACTGTTGCTGACCTTATGTCGGTTACACACTCGTCGTCAGCGACGAGTATGCAGATCTGCTTGACTTTGCCACTACGCAGATCACGCAAGAACCTTTTATGTTCGAGCGTTGGCAACTGAGTGATCTCCGAAGTTAACTTCGGAGGCGCAATCAGATCAAGTGTATAAGCGCCTACACATGATCCGTTATTGACTATGACATTCAATGTCTCTGTCATTTCCTGGGGACTTATTCCCTCAGGCTTCGAAGGACTTATTCCTTCGTCTTCCCGGGGACTTATTCCCGCGGGTTTCGGGGAACTTATTTCCGCCGTATTTGTAATCTTGGGACTTATTCCCTTTACTTCCTCTAGCTGGGGTTGCGCAACCACAGCGAGATCCTCTACGAAAGACTCTCCAGTCGATCTAGGATTATCGTTTCGCTTAACCTGAGCGATCGATTGTTTCTCTTCTAGATGTTCCCCTCTAGGGATACATCTTTGTCCCAGTCCACCCGACTTATTCGAGTGGTGGACCTTCGGCGCAGCCTGTGTTTCCTCACAGCCGCCGGAACTTTGCTCCGAAGTGTAACCGTTTGGTACACTAAGGTTTTGTGCAGTCGTACTAACGACCGTACCACAAGTGAGGCCATCGCACTCACTCGTAGTACATCCACACGCTTGTGGACGCTCCAAAACGTTCATCAGATGGCCATCTGATGAACAAGCGGCAGGCATCGTTACTGTCCGATGTTGCCAGTTTACCCGTGGTTCGTACCTTCTGAGCCACGGTATTCCAAGGATGACATCAAATTTGTCATCCAAATCCAATACGATAAAGTCATCGTCGTATTGGGTATCTTCTAGCGTATAGTGAATCTTCACTATACGCTTCATGACTGGTTACGGATGCGCCTGTCGCAAGACGTACCGTCATCCTCGTAGGAGGTGTGTCACATTCACTGAATTTAAAGTGACCATCTTCTAGCGATTGGCGTCGCACAAAAATTGTTGGACGCCCCACAATCGACTAGAGCTCGAAGGGACAACTTATTCGTCACTTCGAGTTTCAAGGTAATGAGTGAGATCTCATTACCTAGAGCAGCAACGCACAACGTCTGTGTGTTGGGAGCAACCTTCATCAAGAGGCCTACAAATTCTCTTGACGTTGCTGGATCATTAGGGTGCTCCGCACCTACTGATCCTGTCCGTTTTTTGACGGTCCATCCCGTTGTTGCGTCTTTGCACCAACTGCGGACCCCCGTCCCTGCCCCTTTCTCATGGGTGGACGGTCACTACGCCCAGTGTCGCGAGACACTGGACGAGGGGCACTACACTCGTAAGCGTAGTGTCCTGTCTTTTGACATCTGTTGCATCTCTGCAACTTCTTGTAGCCTGTAGAGCGAGCCTTCTCGCTCTCTACATAACAGAGTTCCATCGGCTCTGGACCTCCGTTGTCATATCGTCTCGGTTGACGATATGATGTCGAGCTGGCGCGAGCCTGTCTCAGACTGAAGTCTTCCTGCTCCGCAATGGAAATGGCTTGTTCTAGTGAATCTAGTTCAAGCCGGAACAGGTGAGTCTTGACGGGACCATCCGCAAGACCCTGCATGAACACCGAAACCAACGTGTGTTCATCCACCGGATTGGAACTTATACAACTCGTGAGATGTCGTATATGTTGAGCGTAAGCGTGCACATCACGCTTACCCTGCTTGAGCTTCAAGAGTTCGGTTCGAGCTCTGAACTCAGCTCTAGGCGGTTCAAACGTTTGTCTGAGCCGCGACTTGAAGACTTCCAACGACCCAAACGCATATGGGTCGTGCAGCTTGAGCCCCAGTGCCCAAGTCTTGGCACGTCCTGCCAGATTTGACTGGGCAAATGCAACTTGCATATCCCCGTCGTCGATGCGACGCGCCCTTATGGCGTCATCCAATTCGACGAACCATCTCAAGAGGGAGTCTTCTTCGACCCCCTATACTTTGAGATGTCAATCTTCAAAGTCTCGGGCCGACGCGAGTGCATCGACCCGCCAGCAGCAGCCTGCTGCTGTCTCAACAGTTCAAACTGTTGAGCACCTTGTTCTCTCAACAACTCTGCTTGTTGAGAACCTTGTTGGTGAATCAAGGCTACTTTCTCGCGTTCTGCGTCAAGTTCATTTTGAATGAACTTGGCGATAGTAGCATGTTGGGCATCTCTATTGAGAGCCTCTAGCATGACGCTAACAGCATGGATGCCCATGGTCGAACCCATTCGTTCAACCGCATCCCATTCGACATCGCTCAAATGGGAGTAGCCGTCACGCGTAGCGTGAAAGCTTTGGTCATCTTCATCATCCAACATATTCATGTTGGATGTGAACGCGGTCCTTGGACGGACTACGAAGTGCTACCAGGTGTAACGGGGCACCCTGAAGCTTGTACTGGTGACAGTACAAGCTACTTATTCTGATGACAGAATAAGGCGGTGCCTCGTAACTTCACGTACACTCGTACGTGCAGAGGAAGACGGTAAGAAGAAGCGAGTACTCGGTTAGAGTAAAAGTAGAACTGTATTTATAATAGTTAATGTCTGCAATAAATCACTATTTATCTTCATCTAACTATGTCTAAATACAAATGTGTAAATCAGTTATCTGCTCACCACTCATTGCGTGCGTCTGTCGTGGCGCGTCTTCGTTGGTTGATATAATGGCCTATATCAACCAATTAGGAACTACTTGGAAGTGCTACATAATATTGTCCTTATGACAATATTCTGAGAATATAACTCTTATAGTTATATTCTATTAACAATTTCTTATAAATTGTTATGTAACGATTCACCCCGTTACATCTCTGGTCGTAAGAGTTAAGTGCCTGAGTTAAGGCTAAGTTGTCGTGGGCATTAGTGCCACGTGATTCCTTGGAGCCGTAGTCCCCTTAACCATGACTAGAAGCTTAAGAGCTTGCATTTACACCATGAGTTAAGTCTCACCAAGTCTGTAAGACTCGAGACCCTGTAAGTCGATACCCGTTTAGTTTGATACAATGAGAGACTCTACAAGTAAAGAAGCCTTCCTTTGACAAAAGAGTTAGGGTAGCCCCGCTACACCTGGTAGCACTTGTAGTCAATCTACACCTGAGTGTGCTAAAGACTGTTCCTCCGTAGGGATGGAAACAAGAAAAAACACTTGAGGCCCAAGAATTAGCACTAGAGAAACATAGATCGCCTGTAGCCGAGCTACACAGCTCTTTAAGTCAGAGGAAGACTTATTTAACAAGCCAACGGATTACAGCTGACAGCCTATTAGCTCTACGGAACTAATTTATCAAGTTAAAGAGTCAACCAGTTCTACGGAACTCGGGTGGACTCTACGAGCTAACAGCTCAACTACTGTGTAGTTCTACAAAACCACAAGCACAATGCGCAGGGGAAATGAAGTCTAAGGACTCCCTAAGCTACGGCAGTTCTAAGGAACTGCTGGACACAATGTGCGAAAGGGGGGAAGTCTAGGGACTTCTGCGTAGAATGATAACTGAGTACATTTAGATTTTACATAGAGGAAAATCCTGCTTTATGTACCTTATATTATCCTGAATATAAATATTGATCATCGAACTAAATGGATGGTAGCCACATCACTCAGTCATCAAATGATGACGATACAAAGTACGTACACGGTAAGTACCGTAAACCTGGGAATATCAGTCAATCGATATTCTCTTGCTGATATAAAATCTAAGGTCACACACATGCATCCATATCATTTATGGGAGGTCTTTGACCAATTTAACCAATGGATAGTGTGACCCCGTTACACCCTCCCTCACCAGACTGACGTTACCACAAACGTCACTCGACTCATTCTCCCATTGAGATTTGTTACAAAGTAACTCACTCACATGGACCGACCTGGGAACCTCCTGGAAGATAAGGCTCTAGCCGAATTTCTAGGTGTCGAGGACGTGGACTTTGACAGTGGTAGTGATACCAAAGTCGAGGGTGAGGAGCGATACAAACCCAGCACATCTGTGCGTGGGGACATTGCCCATCCGGCACCCAATCCGTTTCCCAAATGTAGTGCCGCGACTGCGCCAACAGCGCTGGGAGCAATGTCCCCCATGGGTACATCCATTATCACTAACCCGCTTCAAGAGGAGCAACAACGCATGCTTGACCAAGCCGCAAGCGCACGGCGCAAGTTATAAGTTCAGACAACGTTGCAACGACACAGTGAATATAACTTCACTCCACCTGGCGTGGAAGAACTCATTGGTCAAGCGTCACGCCGTACTTTGGCAGCATGGGCCACCGGCCCCGAGGCGAAAACGCCCACTGAACTCGAATGCCGCAAGGCTCTTCGAGAGAGGTACTTGGAATCTAGTGTGATGACTTTAAGTCAATACAGAGAAAGGCTGCCAAAGTAGACCCAAGGAACACCGGTTCCACAAATCAGGGGTATACCCATCATTACTTCCGAAGATAGGGAAGAAACTGCGGAGTACAATGTGTTCATTTGCTAGGTGCATGGCGTTCGACGCCTCAGTAGCATGCACGCGCTACGCGAAAGTGCCTGTGTGGCAGACGTTCGTCTAGAGCGAAAGCTCCACTATGACTTCGCGAAGTTAAAGGCCAGAGGCCGTCTGCAGGGAGTTTTACGCTCCCGCTATGCTTCGGCTGCCTCTGCAGCCGCGAGTTCACGTCAATATTTTGTCACGAACTCGCACGCTCTCACTACGACGAGTGAGAAGCGTGGCACTCGTCAAAACGAGCTCGGTCGTGGCGCTCAAAAACGTCAACGGCGTTCGGAAATTCTTGCCGGAGATGAATCTCATACTCCCATGAGTCAGACTCAGGGTACCCACGCCACTTCACCTGATATTGGTAGTGACCATGACGACGACGTCGTTGAAGTACCCGCTCCACATAAACCTGTAAGCTCCCTTGCCTATTAAGCAACGCCGGTGGCGGTCGGAGTATCGGCTGAAAGTCATACTGAGTTGGTGAAGAGAGCGGAGGATCTCCGTGAGACTTTGGCTTAGACAGGGAACGCCCTGGGCGAAGCCCGATCTCGTCTGGCGACGTTGGAAGGCGATCGCGCTCGTCTTTTGATGATGGAGTCACGTCAGACCCGTGTCGAGGCTCAACTTGACCTCTTAATTCGGATGCAACATCCTGTGGCGACGCCAATTTACGCGGCGCAAGCGCCTTCAAGTCTACATGGGACGGGTCTTGGTCTGGCTTAAGCAGGCCTGCATAAAAGACGGGATTTGTACGCAATACGCGCGGCAAATTGAGCGTTTACGCAAGGCCCTTCTTGGCCATGACCGCAAAAGGTCCAATGAAGCGCGGACGCAATTTCGTTGTAAAAACAGCTGACACCTCATTTGCAAGTAGATTTTTAGTGTTTAGCAAGACTTGGTCTTCGACCTCATAACTTTCAATACAATTTCTGCCTTTGGCATCTGCTTGTTCCTTTTGTTTATCTTGTCTATCATCCATTGCATCTCGCACATGTCGTAAGACATCCAACCTTGTTGCAAGGAACTCACAAACCTGTTTTTGATCAGTGGCAGGGCTAATTTCAGCAATCCGATCGGCAATCCCTCCTCCACCAAGCCCGGAACCACGAAGTGGTATCGTCAATGGGACGCGCGGATGGGTCATGCCGTTAACATAGAACAGGGTGTAGCCAGTCGAGGCGTGAACCGAATTGTTCATGGCAAATTAGACCACCGGAAGCATAGAGCTCCAACGCCTAGGCGTCCTTGCGCAAACGCTGCGTGAAATGACATCAGTGACACGATAAACACGTTCAATTTGACCATCGGTCTGCGGATGATCCGCGAAAGACATGTCCAATCTGATGCCGAGCACGTTAAAAATGGACTGCCAAATTTTCCCGTAAAGCGAGGATCGCGATCTGATACAATTTCCGAAGGCAAGCCGTGTTGACGAAACACGCGATCGATAAACAGCTGTGCTGTACAATCAACATCAAACGAAGCCGGCACAGCCGCAAAAAGATTCATCTTACTCAAACGGTAAAAAAAAGACCACGTCTGTAACGGGGTGAATCGTTACATAACAATTTATAAGAAATTGTTAATAGAATATAACTATAAGAGTTATATTCTCAGAATATTGTCATAAGGACAATATTCTGTAGCACTTCCAAGTAGTTCCTAATTGGTTGATATAGGCCATTATATCAACCAACGAAGACGCGCCACGACAGACGCACGCAATGAGTGGTGAGCAGATAACTGATTTACACATTTGTATTTAGACATAGTTAGATGAAGATAAATAGTGATTTATTGCAGACATTAACTATTATAAATACAGTTCTACTTTTTACTCTAACCGAGTACTCGCTTCTTCTTACCGTCTTCCTCTGCACGTACGAGTGTACGTGAAGTTACGAGGCACCGCCTTATTCTGTCATCAGAATAAGTAGCTTGTACTGTCACCAGTACAAGCTTCAGGGTGCCCCGTTACACCTGGTAGCACTTCGTAGTCCGTCCAAGGACCGCGTTCACATCCAACATGAATATGTTGGATGATGAAGATGACCAAAGCTTTCACGCTACGCGTGACGGCTACTCCCATTTGAGCGATGTCGAATGGGATGCGGTTGAACGAATGGGTTCGACCATGGGCATCCATGCTGTTAGCGTCATGCTAGAGGCTCTCAATAGAGATGCCCAACATGCTACTATCGCCAAGTTCATTCAAAATGAACTTGACGCAGAACGCGAGAAAGTAGCCTTGCTTCACCAACAAGGTTCTCAACAAGCAGAGTTGTTGAGAGAACAAGGTTCTCAACAGTTTGAACTGTTGAGACAGCAGCAGGCTGCTGCTGGCGGGTCGATGCACTCGCGTCGGCCCGAGACTTTGAAGATTGACATCTCAAAGTATAGGGGGGTCGAAGAAGACTCCCTCTTGAGATGGTTCGTCGAATTGGATGACGCCATAAGGGCGCGTCGCATCGACGACGGGGATATGCAAGTTGCATTTGCCCAGTCAAATCTGGCAGGACGTGCCAAGACTTGGGCACTGGGGCTCAAGCTGCACGACCCATATGCGTTTGGGTCGTTGGAAGTCTTCAAGTCGCGGCTCAGACAAACGTTTGAACCGCCTAGAGCTGAGTTCAGAGCTCGAACCGAACTCTTGAAGCTCAAGCAGGGTAAGCGTGATGTGCACGCTTACGCTCAACATATACGACATCTCACGAGTTGTATAAGTTCCAATCCGGTGGATGAACACACGTTGGTTTCGGTGTTCATGCAGGGTCTTGCGGATGGTCCCGTCAAGACTCACCTGTTCCGGCTTGAACTAGATTCACTAGAACAAGCCATTTCCATTGCGGAGCAGGAAGACTTCAGTCTGAGACAGGCTCGCGCCAGCTCGACATCATATCGTCAACCGAGACGATATGACAACGGAGGTCCAGAGCCGATGGAACTCTGTTATGTAGAGAGCGAGAAGGCTCGCTCTACAGGCTACAAGAAGTTGCAGAGATGCAACAGATGTCAAAAGACAGGACACTACGCTTACGAGTGTAGTGCCCCTCGTCCAGTGTCTCGCGACACTGGGCGTAGTGACCGTCCACCCATGAGAAAGGGGCAGGGACGGGGGTCCGCAGTTGGTGCAAAGACGCAACAACGGGATGGACCGTCAAAAACGGACAGGATCAGTAGGTGCGGAGCACCCTACTGATCCAGCAACGTCAAGAGAATTTGTAGGCCTCTTGATGAAGGTTGCTCCCAACACACAGACATTGTGCGTTGCTGCTCTAGGTAATGAGATCTCACTCATTACCTTGAAACTCGAAGTGACGAATAAGTTGTCCCTTCGAGCTCTAGTCGATTGTAGGGCGTCCAACAATTTTGTGCAACGCCAATCGCTAGAAGATGGTCACTTTAAATTCAGTGAATGTGACACACCTCCTACGAGGATGACGGTACGTCTTGCGACAGGCGCATCCGTAATCAAATATGAAGCGTATAGTGAAGATTCACTATACGCTAGAAGATACCCAATACGACGATGACTTTATCGTATTGGATTTGGATGACAAATTTGATGTCATCCTGGAATACCGTGGCTCAGAAGGTACGAACCACGGGTAAACTGGCAACATCGGACAGTAACGATGCCTGCCGCTTGTTCATCAGATGGCCATCTGATGAACGTTTTGGAGCGTCCACAAGCGTGTGGATGTACTACGAGTGAGTGCGATGGCCTCACTTGTGGTACGGTCGTTAGTACGACTGCACAAAACCTTAGTGTACCAAACGGTTACACTTCGGAGCAAAGTTCCGGCGGCTGTGAGGAAACACAGGCTGCGCCGAAGGTCCACCACTCGAATAAGTCGGGTGGACTGGGACAAAGATGTATCCCTAGAGGGGAACATCTAGAAGAGAAACAATCGATCGCTCAGGTTAAGCGAAACGATAATCCTAGATCGACTGGAGAGTCTTTCGTAGAGGATCTCGCTGTGGTTGCGCAACCCCAGCTAGAGGAAGTAAAGGGAATAAGTCCCAAGATTACAAATACGGCGGAAATAAGTTCCCCGAAACCCGCGGGAATAAGTCCCCGGGAAGACGAAGGAATAAGTCCTTCGAAGCCTGAGGGAATAAGTCCCCAGGAAATGACAGAGACATTGAATGTCATAGTCAATAACGGATCATGTGTAGGCGCTTATACACTTGATCTGATTGCGCCTCCGAAGTTAACTTCGGAGATCACTCAGTTGCCAACGCTCGAACATAAAAGGTTCTTGCGTGATCTGCGTAGTGGCAAAGTCAAGCAGATCTGCATACTCGTCGCTGACGACGAGTGTGTAACCGACATAAGGTCAGCAACAGTGTTTACTGAGAACGAGAGAGTTCTCAGTAGTTCATCTATGGACGAGAGTGTCCTAGATGAAAAGACACACGAATTGAGCGATATGAGTCCCAATCATGGGAATCGCTCAAGGAAAATCCTCTATGAAGATTTGGTTGAATTCAAGGATGTATTCCCTGAAACTGTTCCGTGCGAATTACCGAAGGATAAAGGTATTCGACACGAAGTCGAGCTTAAACCAGGCTCGAAGTACTGTGTCATGAAGCAGTGGCCACTGCCTCGTGAACAAAGTACTTGCGATCGACAAGTTCTTTGCCGATCGTTTAGCAGCGGGCCATGTGAGGGAATCAACTTCCCCACATAGCTCTCCGACCTTCTGTGCGAAAAGCAACAGGAGGGTGGCGGATAGTGCACGCGTTCAACAAATTGAACGCTGCAACGGTACCGGCTCAGACGCCGATACCGAGGAAGGACGTAATCATTGATGGTATGTCAAAGAGTACCATCTTTTCGTCCATGGATTTGATGGATGGCTTCTATCAAATCCTAATGCGGGAACGGGATATACCCTATACCGCAGTTAGCACGCCTAGCGGCATGCTCTGGGAATGGCTAGTAATGCCACAAGGGCTCAGTAATGCCCCTGCCACGTTCAACAGGTGTGTATCACATCTGTTGAGGCCAGTACGAGAATTCGCGCCGAGTTATTTCGATGACGTATTCATCCATAGTCGAGCTATGGATGGAAAGTCGGACGTTGAGGTTCACAAGTACCACGTCCGACAAGTTCTTACAATCATGCGAAAGCATCAATTGTATGCAAACCTCAAGAAGTGTATATTTGCAGCAAGCGAAATACCACTTCTTGGGTGCATCGTTGGTAAGAACGGTGTACGTCCTGATCCCGAAAAGATCAAGGCGATCACCGACTGGCCCGTGCCGGTCGATGTCAAAGGTCTTCGAAAATTCCTTGGGCTAGCGGCGTATTTGCATAAGTATTCACGCAATTACGCCGAGATGACTGTACACCTCTCTCGTTTGTTGAAAAAGAACGAGAGGTGGTTATGGAACGCTGAATGTCAACGCTCTTTGAGGGTATCAAGCAGAGCTTGATACAATCCCCAGTCCTAGCAATAGCCGATCAGGACAGGCCATTTCATGTGGTCTGTGATGCCAGCGATTTCGCAATCGGCTGTGCATTAATGCAGTACGACCTTGAAGGCGTTGAACGCGTCGTCTGCTATCAGTCGCGTCAGCTGCAACCAGCTGAGCGGAACTATCCAGTGCATGACAAGGAACTCCTTGCCATGAAGTATGCACTCGCGAAGTTCAGAGTCTATCTATTAGGAGATAGACCCTTCGTTGTTTACACTGACCATGCGTCCTTACGCACGGCAGTGAACAGCCCGCACCTTTCACAACGAATGGCGCGGTGGTTGTCATTCTTTGCAGAATACAACTTTACGGTCGAGTACAAACCAGGACGACTTAATGTCGTCGCTGATGCACTCTCACGTCGTCCCGACTTTGAAACAGTCGCGAAACCCAACAGTGAGACAGTCACTGTTGCGGTTATGACGTCCTCAGTTCCATCTACAACGTTGTATGATGATGTGAGGCGGGCATACGCCCAAGATGGTGAGATAGTGAAGTTGTTGTCACATCTCTCCCAACCATCTCGAGAATCGTTGAAACGATTGTCGTTCGCGTATCGATCTGCATCAGATCGATACACTACTCGTAACGGTTTACTGTACTATACAGCCGTTTCTGGTGACACACCACGTGTTGTCATTCCAGATGATACTGATCTGCGTTTGCGGATCATGTTCGAGTATCACGATGCTCCTATAGGAGGACATCGTGGCCGAGAGAAAACATATCTCACGGTAAGTCGAGACTTTTACTGGCCCCGCCAGTATCAGTTTGTGCGAAAGTATGTTCGCGCATGCGAAGTCTGCCAACGAGTGAAGTCAAGTCCTTCACTGCGTGCACCTTTACAGCCTCTACCGGTTCCGGCTGAGTGCTGGGAATCCATCTCAATGGATTTCGTCTTCGGGTTACCCAAAGACGCACGCGGGAATACGGGTATTCTCGTATTTGTTGACAGATTCAGCAAAATGGTACACCTTGTGGCTGTACCAGAGACAATCACGGCAAGTGGCTGTGCTTGTGTCTTTTATTGACACCATCTTCCGACTTCATGGGTTGCCCCGTGAACTCGTATCAGACAGAGATCCACGATTCACTGTTGATTTCTGGCGTTCCGTGTTCAAATCACTCGGAACGCGCTTGAAGATGTCAACATCTGATCATCCAGAGTCAGATGGTCAGACGGAACGTGCCAATCGTGTCCTTGAAGAGATACTTCGAGGATACGTACACTCTTTAAGAGTTGGAGTGAGTTTTTGCCGATGGTAGAGTTTGCCATCAACAACTCGGTGCATGCGTCCACGACACATACACCGTTTTACGTGAATGGCTTGCGCCATCCGCGTGTACCCACCTTACTAGAGTGTAACTCTGGTTTAAGGGGGGAGGGACTCGCGCGAGCAAAAACCGATTTGGTTCACGCTCATCACGCTCTGACGAAGAAGTCATTGCGTTTGATGCCGATATCGATAACATCGATATCGAAGAAGATGATGCCAGTGAGAGTGCGGAAGCCCTCACTGAAGACAATGATCCCAGTGAGAGTGCGGAAGCCCTCACTGAAGAAAAGGTTGTTGTCGCTGCAGTGCGCTCACAGCACACTGAAGCTAACGAGTCATCAGATGAGTTCATACTGGCTCGTGAAACGGTAGTCCGTTTTGTGCAAGACTCCATCGCCGAAGCGGTGGATAAGCAAAAGCAAAACGCTGACAAGAATGGAAGGGCAAACACTCTTTTATTTAATAAAGGTGACTTAGTCCTACTGTCTACGGTTAATCTACCAAAACATGTAGTGACTAACTTGGGTAGCAGTAAACTACTACCCAAGTACATTGGCCCATTTCGTGTATTGCACCGCCTAGGCAATGCATACACGATCGAGTTACCACGTAAGATGCGAACGCATCCCACGTTTTACGTTGGTCGGCTTAAGCCGTACCATCAGTACGCTGCTTCTTCCGATGAAGAACGCCCTTGCGCTCAAGCATCTCGCAGATAGCCTTGTGCTCCCGATGGTGGGCATCAACAAGGGTCTGAAGAGCAGTTATCTCAGCCCGAGACCGATCAACAATCCCACGAGCTACCCTTAGCTCGTCACGAAGAGATGTCAGAGATCTCTCGTTCTCAAGCTGAGCAAAGGCAAACTCATCTCGATGCTTCGAGGCAGTGTCCACCATCTGGAGACGCCTATTCCGCTCATGCTCGAGATCGTCGCGTAACCCTTGCGTTACGCGATCAAAGAAGCTCTCGGGAACACACCGATCCACATGATCGTGTGGAGAGCGTCTTTCCTCCTCCTCCACCTCCATTAGAGGACTCTCGCGGTGGCCAGCGCTATCTAGTAGAGCAGCTGTTGAACCACCGCGACGTGAACGGACGTCGGACGAGTTACCTCGTCCGGTGGCGCGGCTATCCCCCGTCCTGGGATTCTTGGGAGCCCCGCTCCCAATTGATGGTTGACGTACTGGGTCTGGTCGAGCAGTACGACGCGACACATCCTGTGCCGCAGAAGGACCGCCGGAGAAAGTCTTCCCGGCACGGTCGTAAAGGGATTTCAGGTTGTCAATCCCTTCGTACATCTCAGTAGAGACACGTACGCGCCACCACGGGCTGGTAAGGAGGTAAGCCTCCTTAGGTGCTCGTGCAGAGTTGTTCACACAACATGGGCACGAGTCTCCCCAAGAGAGGCAGGGTAATCCTTTCTCCCTTGACAGACGATGCAGCTTATAGCGTGCACCTGTCGGGGTTCGCTTTTCAAACTTATCACGAGCTTTGATAAGTTTGTCGTTCCAAGCGTCACGACCTACATCCTCGAGATTATGGATGTAGGCGTTCCACGCCTGAAGTAGTGAGGGACCATCACGTTTGTGATTCCCACTGTACCATCGATGTCTGAAGAAAGCATCGATGAAGAACTTCATGTTCAGCGCGATAGTCTTTCGCGCTGGGGTCAAGGTGATGAATCCTCGACGAATCGAACAATCGTGTTCGATAACGATCACTCGTCGTCGCCGACAAGTGATCCATGACAGATTTAGGAGGCATCCATGCCTTCTTTTCTGGAGCGAGACGCAACACATTGCGGTCCCGCTCTTCCTGCGACGTGCCGACAGAAGTACTGGCACCTCGCTGTGAAGTGGTGTCCATTGGAGAAACGACACCACTATTAGCGCCCGAGTCTCGCGACCTCGAGCGCCTTCTCTTCGGCGATGGTTCATCTGACTCATCAGATGAACCAAAGATGCTGCGACGCAAAGCATCGTCCATGCCACGCTTGGCAGGCGGCTTGGATTCAATTGCCGTCGATACGGATCCGTCATCCGTATCAGGAGAGTACGAGACACCGAGCTCGTACTCTGTGAAGACACGAGTGTCTTCATGACCAGCGCCTGCATCACCAGGTGATACAGGCTGAGTCGATTCAGCAACCGATGGGACATCAGTTGCTGTAGTTTCTGCTTCGGCGTCCGCACAGAGACGTGCAGACGCGCTCTCGGCGGCCTTGCTCGCGCATCGCATGGGCTTGTTTACCATGCGATGAGATGTTGGAAAGTGGACGCGGACCAACAAGTGCAAACCCCGTCCCAAATGATTTGGGACGAATATCCATTTAGTCAATCAGTCACTAAAGTGACTGATGGTTAAGGGGGGGGTGATGTAACGGGGTGAATCGTTACATAACAATTTATAAGAAATTGTTAATAGAATATAACTATAAGAGTTATATTCTCAGAATATTGTCATAAGGACAATATTCTGTAGCACTTCCAAGTAGTTCCTAATTGGTTGATATAGGCCATTATATCAACCAACAAAGACGCGCCACGACAGACGCACGCAATGAGTGGTGAGCAGATAACTGATTTACACATTTGTATTTAGACATAGTTAGATGAAGATAAATAGTGATTTATTGCAGACATTAACTATTATAAATACAGTTCTACTTTTTACTCTAACCGAGTACTCGCTTCTTCTTACCGTCTTCCTCTGCACGTACGAGTGTACGTGAAGTTACGAGGCACCGCCTTATTCTGTCATCAGAATAAGTAGCTTGTACTGTCACCAGTACAAGCTTCAGGGTGCCCCGTTACAACGTCAGTGTTGCCGTCCAAATCTGTGGCAAACCAAACAAAAAGTCCATACTGATGGATTTCCAACAACCCGTAGATGTAGGCAAACTTGCCAAAGACGCAGCCGTATGAGCGGAGGGTTTGACCCGTTGACACGTTTCACACGTACAAACATATGTGCTCACCCATTTTTATAATTTGGGTCACCAATAGTGTTGGTCGACCGAGCCATAGGTCTTCTCTCGACCGAGATGACAGCTGAAAGCTGTATCTTGCGCTTTAAAAGGATACGATTTTTTAATTCCTCATCATGAGGTATGACGATGCGCAGAGAATCCGCCGCATCCGTGCTTTAGCACAAGAGGCCATGATCGAAAGAATATCTGTGTAGCCCTGCACGCGAGCGTGCCGACAATTTGATGTCCGAGTCTTTAAGCTCATCACAATCGAGTGCGCGTAACAACGCGACACACTGATCATCCTTGGCATATTCCGCACGGATTAAATCAGGGATATAAGACGACAGAGTCGTAACATGAGCAAGCTCATAATCTGGCCTGCGTGATAACGCATCGGCCCAAGCATTTTGCTTCCCTGGTTTATAAATCACCCCAAAGTTATACTCAGCGAGTAATGAAAGCCAACGGGCCTACGTTGCGAGAGATGCGGCAACTGGGTCGCAGTGCAAAACGACGCATAATTTGTGACGATTACAAACGGCTTGGAGCCAAGCAGATGTTCTCTGAACTTGACAAGAGCATAATTCATTGCAAGTAACTCTTTGTCATGATCTGGATAGTCCTTTTCGGCAGCTTTTAGCTGGCGAGACTCATACGCAATGATGCGCTCATGTCCATCGACATCAGTTTGCAGCTATGCACTGCCAATGGCAAAATCAGATGCGTCACAGAAGACAGTGAAAGGTCGCTACGGGTCAGGCAAAGCCAAAATTGGAGCATGAAGGAGACTCTCCTTAACATCTTAAAAGCTTGTGCCTGGGCCGAGTCCCGACTCCAAACCGCGTCCTATTAAGGAGGTTGGTTAATGGCCTTGCCATGTCAGCATTGTTTGCACTATACTTGTGCAAATAATTGGCTAAACCAAGTTATTTACGCAAGTCTTTTGGGTCTGACGGAACCGGCCAATTCACAATGGATTTTACCTAAGCGGGATCTGCCCGTAGGCCGCGCTTTCCAATAATAACCCAAAAAAAGAATTTTTTTAGCACCAAAAATGCATTCAGATGCATTTGCATTCAACTTGTTGGTGCGCATGCACCCGAGCACTGCTCGTAAATGGTCAATGTGATTTTCCACATCTAATCTTCCTTTTTCTGCACGGCTATGGACAAAAGTGTCATCAACATAGCTTTGTGCAGGCATGTCCGCTATGAGGGCGGAACAACTGCGTCACGGGACGATTATAGGTTGCGGGGGCATTAGAAAGTCCCTGAGGCATAACAAGCCACTCCCAAAGCATGCCACTCGGCGTGCTAACCGCTGTGAGTGGGATATCACTCGCTCGCATGAGCCTTTGGTAATAACCATCGCCTAATTCGAGCGCGCTAAACATGGTGCAACCCATTATAGCGTTCTGGAGAACATCTTTAATAAAAAATTAGGGTTTGCGCAGGTATGTTGGCCGCATTGAGCTTGTTGTAAGCGTGCACAATACGCCACTTACCGTAAAACTTTCTAACACAAAACGTCGGTGTGAAGTGTGGAGATTTGCTGTTCCGCACCATGCCTGCCGCGTGCTTTGCACGAAAAAACTCGTCAATGACGTGACACTGTTCCTTAGACAATGGCAATGGACGTAAAACACAATGTTTGGTCCCAGAGACCAGGTCAATTTCATGACCCACACCTCGGTCGGGAGGTAGAGTGGACGGTGGATCATGAAACTCCACGTCCTAAAATTACTTTACCAAATAATAAAAGGGATTCGAAGGATCCTTCAAAATGGCAGATCCACTGCGAGCACTGAGTGCAACTTTAAAATCTTCAAGGACTGTATAATCTACAAGGGATGACGAGTTCAACTCAAGATCAGGTCTAAGGACCACCATATTGGACAAAGCACCAGCCTTTAAGGCTTTATGAAATTCGTCTACAGAAATTTAGACTAGCTCTAGCAGAGCATAAATCGATGGGAGGGCTTTGAGGCTAACTTCTCCATCAATTGCACCCGACACCCCATTGACTAACGTGTACATCTGTTCACTTGTGTCCTTCTGGGTTATGGCAGAAGCCTTTCTTTTCACAGCCGCCATCTGGAGTCGCTGTCGTCTCTGTGCAGTTACTGAACACTTCAACGTGTAAGGAACATCCAATTCCACGAGGTGAAGATTATCTATAACCTCAAGCTGCTCTCTCAAAGAGCAATTGTCATTACCGACATTAAGTGTGGTGGCCTCACGGCAGACCTCACCCTGTGGACAGTTATCTACCATATTCGCATCTGTTGAGCATAGATCTTGATGCCTTGGTGAATCGCCAACAATGTCATTACCGGCCTTTTGTGGGGTGCCATCACGGCCGACCTCACTCTGTGGTTGTTTTTGTGCCACTCCACGCGCACCACAGGGATCACACCCAGGATGACTCGGCTTTAAGTCATTAATGCTTCCGGCGTTCAGTGATTCACTGTCATTGCTTTTGTCACTCAACATAATACGTGCCGTTTCACTTTTGTCGATGACATCAGAGTTAACTAGCTCAGACACTTCAATGTCAAGCACAATGAAAGACTCCGTCAGTGGTGCGCGCCAATAGCGCTTTTGTTGCCTAGCAAAGGTAGGTTCATGACTCTCCAAAGCTTCACTAGGAACGTTGCGCGTTGCGCCTATGGTCTTCGACCTCCAATCACATCATGGCTCATGGCGTTCAAGCCAAGTCATACCAAGGATAAGATCACATCTCGAGTCCAAATCCAGTACAAGACAACGTTCGATACTATCGAATTCTAAAAAAATTCATACCTAAGTTCAACAGAACTTTAGGTACGGTGACACGATTACCTGTCGCTGAGCAAACAGTGATAACATCACCCTCATGCGCTGTCAGCGCCTCAAAATATTGATGACATCTCTCTAGGGACCGGCGTCGAGCGTAGTTGCCTGACGCTCCAGAGTCAATTAATACTGACCACGGCTCTTCGAAGCCCTTAATTATAGCCGAGGCCACTAAAAAGCCTGGCTTAAACTCACGTCTCGTGAAAACTTCCACAACACCATCTGGGGCTAATCTCTATCTATCTTTGCCACCTAAAGATTCGGCAGAACCTAGTTCGTCCCCAGTAGGGTGCCCCGCGCCTACCGGGAGTTGCCTTTTTTTCGCTCCGTACCCACTTTCGGGTTAGGAGGCGGATTACGGCTCGGCCGACTTTGACGCGGCTTCTGCAGTGGGCACTAAGGGCGCAAGTGCTTGGCTCCCTCACATGTAACATCTGTGGACGTTACGTTGCTTTTCAACAGCCAGAAGGTCTCTCTCTTCTTCTTCAGCATG